CCCCCCCCCCCCTTCCTCCTCTACGGTTCGGTACCTAAAGATTATCGCCCGCAGGTGAATGGCCCGTCCGCCACGATTTATCTCCCAACCACGATGAAGGAAGGTCGCACTCGGTCCCTAAGGCGACAAGGCTGCAGTCCACCCTCGATGGCTGACCGCCACGGGAAGGACGCCCCAGTGTCCCTTCCAGTCCTCCCTACTGGACAATCGGCCGCCTAGTCCGTCGCACAACTGCAGACGGGCTCGCACGATAATTCAGAGCAGGGATATGCATCATGTGCGGAGGACAGCGTGATATGTGGGAAGGAAGGAAAAGAGGAGGCGGCGGCGGCGGCGGCAGCGGAAGAGGAGAAGCGACTCTGGGAATGAGGCTAAACACTAAACAGAAAAGCAAATGCAAAGCAAACCAAATTAAATAATATATAGGTTTATAATCTTTTATCCTGTCAAAAAACAGCAAAATAAAAAAAGAAATAAAAAAGAAATCCAAAATCCAAATGGGTGAAGCACTCGAGATAGAAGCCTAACTAAACAGCCTCGGTGACCCGGTGCGACGACTAGCAAGCACCACTACTTCACTCACCATTGACTGCCGTTGCTGAACCACGACCCCGTAACAACTCCGACTCCGACTCCGTGTGAGGGCAGGATCGAGGATACGGCGACCGAGTACAAAGAGGAATGGGGCTCAGGGCAGGCAGCGACACAGATCACACACAGAGCACGCTGTCCGAGTCTGGCCCTCCCCCTCCCGATCCTGTCTTACTACGCAGTATCGTCTGATTAATCCGCGGCTTTCTGGGAGCAGGCTGGCCGCGGCCTTTGCTCGTCCAGCGCTCGGGTGATAATTCCGCACTGGTTTGTCAGGATGGGTTCGATCCGTGCATATCCAGTACCGTGAATCCGAACGGGTCTCTGTCTGGGGCGCCGGTTAGCCAGAGGGTCCCTTAAGCCCGGTCAGGAAAGGTTGGGAGGAGCCGGGACGTTGTGGAAATTACCAGTAGGACGGGATCAAGGCTCCATTATTATTTTGTGCTGCCACTTTGCCAGCTTGCCAAGTATGTACCCTGTACAGAATGAGCTGATGTGCTGATGTGCTGCCGAGAGCAAACTGGAACGAAGGGGAGGGAAGTGCACCTACCAGGCAATAATGAAGTCTGACATGCAGCAGAGCGAAGCGGATGAACTTGTCTTGTCTTGTTCAGGAAGGTCGACGGTACCTCAGCAGTGGAAGGGCCGACTAGTTTGGGCCCCTAGCCGGGTGGATAGTGGACTAGACCACGGAGTAATTTAGTACGACGACTAGGACGGTAGGATCATAGGATGGGACTCCCAAGGCCCAACTGTCACTCTGCAGATGATCGGGACGTATCGCAACCCGGCCCCACGTTTCCCCCCCCCCTCTTCGTGGGTTTTTAGTCGCTCGTCCTCTTGAGTCTGAGTAGCCGCGCCGGTCGCTCCACTCGTCGTCAGTGCACGACTCAAGTCGGCCCCCGAGGGCACACGCTTGAAGAATGCGATCGCGGTGCTGATCCCAATATGAACTGCAGCTATCCCGTTATTCTTGTCTTCATCGACCGGACAACGTTGCATTCAGAGCGGGTGTGGTGGTCGGGGTCCCAGGAGTGCGTGGATGGGAGAAAGACTCTCACACCTTAATGTTCCGTCCGCATCCCAGACATGCTCTTAGACAGTCTGTCAGTCACCTTGCTGGACACTGCAATTGTCTCATGTCTCAACGGCGCCAACCACCGTGCTGCAATTCGGCAAAGGAAGAATCATCCAGATTCTACTCGATTGATCTCCAAACTACGTCTTTTTCCACCTACCGAGTTACCCAGATACTCAGCCAGTGAAATGGAGCAACTGGAAGCTAAGCTCCAACCACCCATGGCACCTAATAAAAGCAATATATACTCCGGCCGGTCCCCGAGCAGTGACTACGGCCCATCACCCAATCCACTCCCGGTCTTGAATCGTAGTACCACCAGCAACCATCCAATAATCACCGCTAATCAGCTAGAGGCGGCCCGCGCCGAAGCAGTTCCATCAGTGCACACTGCACTTTTGACTCCCTCCCACCCTATGGTTCCAACCTCCTCCGCCCGCCTCAGATGGTGCCCCTGATCCCAACCATCACTAGAGAGAATTTGGAAATGGCGTGGGCAGATCCTCATGTGAAGACGCCTTATGTCGATACTATCGAGACCTGGATGGTGGGTGGGCGGCGGTCCTGGTAGGTAGTTGTCGGATTTGAAACCGGACTTGTCTAGAGAAGTACGTACCTACATGCATGCCTTAGGCCGATCATTGGTCTTGGTTACATCGCTGCGAAGGAGGTAATTTATGACTGCGAAAGGTTATTTTATTGATGCCAGTGTGACTGAAATCATGCGAAAGTCGGACCTGGAGCATGGACAGTGAGCAGAGCCTGATGGAACTGGAAGGGTCCGGAAGAGCGCCATCGCCGCAGGATCAAAACGCATCGGAACTTTGCAGAAGAACACTTCCGAAGGGAAGATCGGAAGGGAAGAAAATCCTTCTGTCCTGCACTGCTGACTGCTGCGTAAAAGGAGGGAGCCTCGGGGGTTCTGGTCTTTCGAGCCGGGAGGTTCCACACCCGCCACTGACGTCGGGGGGAAAGGAAGGAGAGACGGAGACGGACGATCCTGCGGCGGTTCAAGTGGGATGGTCCGAGTGGCACTACGGAGTACTACTAGACAGTCATCTCTCCAATATCTCGTCTAGGGCTGGCAAGCAAGGAAATGCAGACCGGGAGCCGCACCCAATTAAGTGCCGCACGCTGACTCTGCGTTGGTCGCCCGTTACTGGGCCGCCCGCCCTGCCCTAGCGCAGATACGAGGCTCCAGCGTCATCGTCGCCAGCAATCATCTCACGGCATACGGCTCTGTGCAAGCCGTGCGTGGCTAGCGAGCAACTTAGCTAGCCACTATAATGCCACTCTCCTCCCCGGGCCCCCCTGCTGAGAGCCCCCCTGCTAGTGTATTCCCACCGCACAGTCTGACTGGCCCATGGACTGTTCGGCTTCCGTCCGCCTCCCGTGAAAAGGGCTAGGGTGTCTTGTTGCATGCATAGGGCCATCCTGCGGTATAGTACTGTTCCTGTTGTTGGAGATGAAGAAGAAGAATGAACCCACATCAGGATTCCCACTGTTGCTTCCTCTCGGAATCGCCGACTCGATTAATGCTCACGGCTGTTCCGGCTTACCGTACGTACATGGATAGCTATGCCACAAAGAGAACTAGATGACGACCCCACACCAGGTTCGCCGGGAAGGCTGGCCCATTCGTGAGCTTACAGTTTGCCCTTGGGGCGTATCTGAGCTTTTGCCTTTTTGACTCGTTTCCACGCCTCCAACGCGAATGGTACGGTAGACCTGGCATACTCGGCGGCGCGGGCACTACTGGCCTGCCTCAAAGCATACCGCGCCTTGATGCCGTGCATAATCACGGAGCTTCTCCATGCGAAGAAAGCATCGCCCCATGGTATGTCCCCGGTGGGGTCGTAGCCGGATACCTCCCGGTACCACTTTATACAGTCTGCCCGGGTGGGCAAGCCAGGCACCAGGTCCGAGCTGAAGGTCTCCCTTTTGTGATCCACCGAGTCCAGGAAGTAGGGACTAGTGAGGTTGCAGAGGTCGGCCAACGGATGCCCCACCGTGGCCATTTCCCAATCTAAAAGGCCAATGACTCGCGGCTCGGATTTGTGGAATATCATATTATCAATTTTATAGTCTCCGTGCACCAGCGTGCCGCGGTCCTGCGGCTGCGTTGTCTTGTCGGCAAAGAAGTGTACCATGTCCATGAAATGAGGCAGCTCTCCGACCGGCTCCTTGGTCTCCACATCCACGGCTTGTGCCTGGGCGTGAGCGACTGCTGTGAAGGTGGCGATCTGTCGATCAAAGTACCCCGTCGGTTTTCCGAACCCATCTAGTCCGATCAACTTGGGAATGACTCGATGGAACTTGGCTAATGTTCGGACCGCATCCTGCCAGCTGCGTGGTGGTTAGCTCTGCCGTGTAGCCGCGACAGACGGGACGTCGACAAGGGGGTTGGTGACGTACAGAGCCGTTCTCTCTGCGGGGTCGACCCCCGGCATGGCAGGATCAGTAAAGTGCCGTCCGTCCAGGAACTCCATGATGTAGAAGGGGGTTCCAATGACGCTGCTATCCTCACAGAGGCAGTATGCCTTGGGGACCGGGACGTCGGTTTGCTCCAGGGCATGGATGATTTTGTATTCCCGTTCGACTTTGTGAGCCGTCTTGGAGAGCAGCTTGCCCGGGGGCTTCTTGCGGAGGACGTATTTACTGCCATCGGCGGTGGTGATCTGGTAGGTGGGATTGGACTGGCCAAAGCCGAACTGTGGCAGGTGAGTCTAATGCGTGGAAATGAGATAGCCGGGTCACTGTTACCTGCTTCACATCTAAGGGGGTCTTGATAGCGGGTACATTGTGGTCGAGATAACGTTCCAGGGAGGGAACGTCGATAGGTTGACGGACTGCACCAGCCATGGTTCCAGCAAGCAATAAGAGTTTAAATTCTTGAGGATGTCTCTACACACTTCCCAGGACTATAAGGACAGTGTAACTGGGAAGCGGAGGACATGCTGGAGGTAAAACAGACCGGGGATAGGCCGAGGAGGAGGCTTCCCCAGGCCACGGACCGCGGCTAAGCCGTGCATTCCAGCTGGCTGCGGGGCCTCGGCTCCAGCCTCATCTCGATCCACCTGAGTCAGCAATTGCTAGACACAAAACCACACCAACTGTACAAAACGCCCATTAACGCGCCTCGCGTCTCACCGCCAGACGCGTCCCACGCTCCAATGGCAGCCCAACCCACCATGAAGGGCCTCGCCCTCGCATATCGTCAAACCCATCGACACACCGCATTTCTACCATTGCCATTGCAGCTGCCATTCTTCTTTCAGAACTCCTCCCGCAGAATCTCCTCCTCTTTCCTCCTCCACCACCAGATCATGACCAAGGAGACCACCCCTCCTCCCACCACTACCACCCACGAACCCCCCTCCCTTCCAGCCTCTCCCCTCGCCAAACGCACCAAGCCCAACACCACCACCACCACCACCACCGAATCATCCAAAATGGGCTCCAACGGCACCCCCCTCCCCCCTCTCCAAGTGAAGAAGCTCACTCCCACCGGCCGCGCCCCGACCCGCGGATCCGCCTTCGCCGCCGGCTACGACATCTACAGTTCCAAGGAGACCGTCGTGCCCGCCAAGGGCAAGGTCCTGGTTGACACGGGAATTGCCATTGCTGTACCGGAGGGAACATGTACGTTACCACCTACCCCCACTATCTAATTCTATTCCTCCGTCTCCAGACCAAGAAAAAAAGTATACATACTAACGAATAATTTTTGTATGATGAAATAGACGGCCGCATCGCCCCCCGCAGCGGTCTCGCCTCGAAACACTTCATCGATACCGGCGCGGGCGTCATCGACGCGGATTACCGGGGTGAAGTCAAGGTGTTGTTGTTTAATTTCTCGGATGTGGATTTTACGATTCAGGAGGGGGATCGTGTGGCGCAGTTGGTTTTGGAGAGGGTAATTCCCCCCTGTCCCTATCCCTATCCCTACCCTCATTTCTTTTTTGGGGTTTGGGATGTGGTTGGGGTTGTGGTTATGTTGTGGAATGAGGCTAACATGTGGCAGATCTATACCCCCGAGGTGGTGGTGGTTGAGGAATTGGCTGAGAGTGTTCGTGGCGCGGGGGGGTTTGGAAGTACGGGTGTTTAAAAAATTTTGGGGATGAGGTTTGGGGTTGGAATTGGTGGGTGGAATTGGGTGGGTTATGGCGTATGAATGAAAAGCATGGCATGAATGATATACCATTTACATTAGATTTAAATTCACATTTACATTGAAACCTAACTTCAACCAGAACACATGTTTATAATTTTGTTCGAGTGAGGCACATAGTAATGCTGTTTTTTAGTTCGCTGCATTTCATCGCTGGTCATGACTAGTAGTATGATAGTATAAGTATAAGTATAAGCATATACCCGAAATAAACCAACCTCACCATCTATGTTCTATGTACTATGCTATCCAAACCCCCCCCTCCCCCAACCTAAGCTCTCAACGAAACTGCATCGGCAAATCCTCCGCCCGCCACTCACTCGCCCGGAACTCCACATCCGGTTCTCGGAGGTACCGCGCATGCCGAACAACACGCACTTCAGCCGCTTTACTCTCGCGTAAATGTTCCTTCTTCTTCCGTTCTGCCTCACCGAGCAGTGTCTCGCTCTCATCGGGGATCAGAGCGCGCAGCTCGGCGTCGCGTGCCTCCAGAGTCTTCTCGAGCACGCTGTGCATACTCGCTAGTACCTTTACGGTTGACTGGGCGAGAGGGAGCTCGGTAGCGGGGACCTCATCCGGGGACACCCACGATTTAGTAGTGCGGAGGGCCGGGTCGGCGTTGAAGACGGCCTCGCGGAGTCGGGCGACCGTGAGGGCGGCGAACATGTCGCCGGTGCCGCTGAAGTAGCAATCCAGGGCGGGGACGTCAACGCGGAAAAGCCGTGGGGAGCCGTCGGAGCGGGTGGTTGAGCCGATGACGGTCAGGGTGTTGGGGAGGGGAGAGTCGGAGAGGTTGGCGATTTGGACGGAGGTGATGATCACGTGCGGGACGTTGTAGGTGGCGTGGATAGCGGTGATGGCGTCGGCGAGGGTG